TCAAATATCCAAGACTACTAACTATTTCTTAAAACACTAAGAGAAACGCAAAAAAGCTCTTCCTCACAAGCGATTTGCTTTAAAAAAAAGTTACATTAGTGGAATAATATGTCGAATTTAAAAAGTGCACCTAAATACAGTTTAAGAAGGCTCATTTCTGATTACTTCTAGTTTTAATGTCTGTTGCGTAAACTAAAAAAATTTTTTTTTGAACTTATGGAGTAAAATTAAAAAGAGTATACAAAAATAAATTACATTAGTCTTTTCGTCGATATGTAGTAAACATCGTAGAGTTCAGAAAGTAGACCTTGCCAGAATTTCGACAGCTTTCCCTCTTCTTCTGATACCTACAGTGCCGAACTTTTAATAAGCAAATTAGCTTTTTTTAATGTTATTCTTTCTTTTTCAAAAAGCTCAAAAACAGCGTTTACCTGATAAAACTGCCCACCAGTTTCGGTCACTAGGTCAAAGCAAGCTAACAGTCTGCTATCATTATACTGCACGTTAGCTGGGCCAGACTTGTCTCCAATTATCAAGAAGTTGACCTGAAAAGCAAAGATAAAGAAAATACTCGTATTTTAATAGGTCCATTGTTACATATCGCGTCAGATTACTTCAAGAAATTTCAAATTGCCTGTAGGAGTAAATTTGACTAAGTTGACAATTTTTCTTCTAACCTCTCTAGGATTCAAACAATCGGTTAAAAAGAGTATTAACTGCAGGCAATTGATCTTTTTACAAGTTATTTACGGAAGGTAATAGTTTTCTTAAAAAATTCTTCAAAAAGACAGCGTGATTTACAACTTTTTCAAAGCCCTTAATGGTACTCTATTTAGCACAAGGCATTAGCAAATCGTTTATGTCTTACTGCAGAAATCCACTGCAGCATTATAAAATCAGCTAACTTAGGTTAGTTCTATATCAATTTTTAAAAGATAGCGAAACGTCTCCTGTAAAAAACTGAGCAGTTTCTGAGATGTTTTAAGAATTAAGGCTTACGTAAACATGACGTCGAGCTACAGCGTCAAGGGCAAGGGATAATCGATTAGCATCTTCCGGTACCCCTGCAGTGACTATCCACATCAAAGATCGGTATCGAATAAAGTCACTTTCCATGACTCTACTAACAGCATTCATTATCGAACGCTCGTCTGTAGTAGGTGTATATTCTTTTTCGTATTCTGTCTAGAAAAAAAATGATGACATATGTAGGTGTGATTAACTGGATTTAAAGAACTGAATTGAACTTTAAGATTTTTTTTCGTTTCTTGTAAAAAGCGAAGGTTTCTGAAGCTTTCTAGCTTTTGCCTTACTGTTCTTCCTA